AAAAGAGATAGTAATTGACTTTGGCATTTATCCTATATTGTCATGTATTTTCCTAATTTTATTTAGTATTCTATATACTTCCCCCAAAAGGCAGCAGTCTTAGTACTGGAGTAATTCTGGAATGCATTTCCATCTCTGAGAGTGAGAATTTAGATTTCGAACTTCCAGCAATATTAATGGCAGTAGTTAAATTCATAAATCCTTGTTTCTGGAAATGAGAATATAGCTTACCTGATAGCAAAAATGATTGAGTAGAATTTATTTATTTCTTAAAATTATATCAAGGAATGATGTGTCCTCTATTTATTTCTTTTTCAATAGAATTATTTAAAACTGAGGTTTAAGAACCATCATAAAATGACCTCATAGCCAAAAATAAAGGATGTACCATCAATTCTAGAAAGCCCAGTTGGTCACTTATTAGATAAGAAGACTGCAATATTGACAGGAAAAATTTCCTATCTCCCTTCTAGGCCATATCATAGCAATATAAATTCAAGAAGTTGAAGATTTCATAAGATAAAAAATGCCAGTAAGGGAAATGGAAAGATGGCAAGAAGTAGGTTTTTCATGTATTTAGTGATATTAAAAAAGCAACAGATTACAGAGTTCTAACAGATGGTGCATTTTCATATCCTCCTGGGTCGTTACTACAGAATACAATATTTTTTATTATATTTACAATTTGATTACAACTTTGATCATAAATATATTAAGACAATAAAATTGTCTATTTGAGTAAATTTTTTATCGCTGGAAATTAAATGTGATTTTTACAGAAGGCATTTGAAATATAAAGGGCTAGTAAATTAGCCTTTGATTACATAATAAAAAAATCACCATTAATTAAACACAGGGTTACTATTAAAATAGAAATTCTACAAATTAAAAATATGCTTTAATGCCAATCACTTAGCTTGATTTTCTTTTCTTTCAAATTTGAACCACGCTGTATGACTAGGAGTAATCATTCTAAAAAATGAAGTCATTCTTTCATATGCTCCACATTGTTTAGAAATCTTAAAAATATGATTTGCCCCATATGGTTATATGAGAGATGGTAAGAAGCCACGTCAAGGTGGAATTGACCGTGTTGGTTATTTTCTCATACTAACAAATAACTGTCAGACTGTGATCTTCTGAAAGAGAGGTTACCGATTCCTCAGTTGATCGTTATTGCTTAATAGGAATTCCCAGTTTTTACATCGTGAGGTTTGATTATTTGTGTGAATTAAATCATAGATAATCCTATCCTAAATGAAGGATGAATTTTTAATTTTTACTTTGAAATATGAGGTTGCTTTTTAAATGATATACATTTTGTACAAATTTCTAAAGTGTTTTTTCATATTTACTATACCACTTAGTGCTACTATAACCCCCTGAAGTTAGCAGGATCCAGAATGCCCCAAACTCAAAATTTTACAGTAAAAAAAGTTTTTTTTTCTTTACAGAAAGAATGTTGGAGCTATCATGTCTGGAAGTGTGTTTACAACCTAATTTCAACTATTCTCTCTCCCTCCTAAATTTTTCCTTCGTAACTTTTCCACAACCAGTAAGGGAAACTCAGATTATCATGGGAATCTTTCTAAATCACTCCAATTGTCAAAACTTCACCAGGATTTGCCAAGACATCACAAGTGAATTTAAAATGTGCTCCTCGTGTTTGGTTTGTGAATCCAAAGGAAACATGGATTTTATTTCTCAGGAACAAACATCAAAAGGTAAACACAAAGTGAAAGTGAGAATAAAATGTATCAAGTATAAATTAACTTATTCTGTTACAAAGATAGTAATAATATATTCCATTTTTAAATTCATGGCATTGGAACACTCAGTGGTGCGGCTGTTGATAAGTGACTTGCAGGGCTTTGGGGTATCACTCGTTTTTGGTTTACTTTGATTTTTTGAAAACAAGATATCTATTCTTAAGATATGTGAAAATGCCACTATAATTCACATGTTTGATGGTTAAAGGATTATTTAGCATTCTCTCTTTAAAGGTAAGTTAAAAAAAGAAAATTCTAAGTAAACCTGTAGTTTCTCATAGTAAAATCAAACTTTGATTCTTCGAGGAATCGTTGAACCCTTGATGCGTTTGTGCTTACTCCTGCCTGACATTTATCCACTGTACGTGAATTGGTTTTTTTACTTGTTTGACTCTCCCATGGGCCTCTGGAGGGCAGGGCCTTTGTCTTTGTTCACTACTATATCTCTAGCTTTTAGTATAATGCCTGATGTAATACATAGTAGACACTCAACACATTTTGTTGAATGAATGCATGAACAAATAAAAGAATAACTACATATTAGCTACAATGCCTAACTGAACTTTGCATTTCTTATGAAATCAATATATATTATTTAAGTTGAATCAAACTGGATCATTAAGAAATTAAATAATTTATTTACAGCCATAAAATATACTGGTGGTCCCAAGTCCAAGCATCAAATGTATTGCTCATACCTATTCAGTGAGATTGTCTCTTGTGTGACTAGATATTGGCACTTTTTTCCCATTATTTGAGCATAGGAGCAAGTTTTCTTGGCACTGACTTTGGATGAGGTTCTTACTCAAGTAGTGCAGTAACTATTCCAGGATTCTGGGTTGAATTCTCCAGAAAGCAAATTGTGGAAATGCCTCTATGATGAGAGAGTAGGAAGTGTTTTAAGGGTTGCTAGCTCACAGATGCTACGTCTCTGCCTCCTTGAAAAGTGAAAACATTGCATTGACAGGTTGTCCCAGTTGCAATGGCTGTACAAAAGTCAATGGCTTAAAACAACAGCAATCATTTCATTATTTATTTTCTCTTTTTGTGGCTCAGGAATTCAGAATAAGCATAGCTGGGCATTTCTGGCTTGGGGTGTTTCATACTGTTGGAATTAGACAGTGACTGGAGCTAAAACAGAGGGAAGCTGGAACAGCTAGAGACAGGTGGGCATCTCTCTCTTCATGTGGTCTCAGTTTTTCTATGTGGTCTTTTATTATTATTCTTTATTATTATATTTTTTTAGAGATGGGGGTCTCACTCTGGCTGGAGTGCAGTGGCACAATCATAGCTCACTCAACCTCCAATGTCTGGGTTCAACTAATTCTCCTACCTCAACCTACCGAGTAGCTGGGACTACAGGTGCATGCCACCATGCCTGGCTAATTTAAAAAAATTTTTTTGTAGAGATGGGGTCTTGCTATGTTGCCCAGGCTGATCTCAGACTCTTGGCCTCAAGCAATCCTTTTGCCTTGGCCTCCCAGAGTGCTGGTATAACAAGCGTGACCCACTGCACCTGGCCTTGTTATTCTTATTATTGTGGTAAGAATACTTAACATGAAATATACCATCTTAACATATTTTTAAGTGCGTGGTGCAGTATTGTTAACTATAGGCACAGTGTTGTACAGCAGATCCCTAGAACTTACTCTTTTTGCATAACTGAAACTTTATACTCATTTAATAGCAACTCCCCATTTCCTCCTCCTCCCAGCTCCTGGCAACCACCATTCTACTCTCTGTTTCTAATAATCTGACTGCTTTACGTGCCTCAGATATGTGGAATTATGAAGTATTTGTCCTTCTGTAACTGGCTTGTTTTACTTAGCAAAATGTCCTCCAGTTTTATTCATGTTGTTGTATATGGCAAGATTTCTTTCTTTTCAAAGGCTGAATAATATTCCAGTGTGTGTGTGTGTGTGTGTGTGTGTGTGTGTGTATCACATTTTCTTAATCCATTCACCTATCGATGGACATTTGTGTTGTTTCTGCATCGTGGCTACTGGGAGTAGTGCTGCAGTGGGTATGGGAGTGTGGGTATCTCTTCAAGGCACTGATTTCAATTCTTTTCATGCCAAGAAGTGGGATTGCTGGATTACAGGGTGGTTCTGTTTTAAAATTTTTGAGGAACTTCCATACTGTTTTCCGTAGGGATTGGACCATTTTACATTCCCACCAACAGTGTGCAACGGTGTCAATTTCTCCACGTCCTTACCAACACTTACCTTTTTTTAATAATGGCCACCCCTACAGGTGTGAGGTGTATCCGACTGTGGTTTTGATGTTCATTTCCTTGATGATTAGTAACGCTCAGCACCTTTTCACATAACATACCCTTTGGCCATTTGTATGTCTTCTGTGGAAAAACGTCTATTCAAGTCTTTTGCCCATTCGTTAATCAAGTTATTTGGTGTTTTTTTTTTCTATCGAACTGTAGGAATTCCTTATATATTCTGGATATTAACCTTTATCACGTATATAGTTGGCCTTTTCAGTCGGTTGATTGTTTCCTTGATGTCATCTCTCTACTTGGGCTACCTCACAGCATGGTGGCCTTACGTTGTTGGACTTTCCCACAGTGGTTAAGGCTCCAATGTTAGTGTTCTGAAGGTCAAGGTGAAAATTGCTTCTCCTTTTCAGCTTAGTCATGCAGTGTCACTTTCTGTGCATTTGACTGGTTATAAGTGAGTCGCAAACCCTCCCAGATTCAAGAGCAGAGGAAAGGAATTAGATTCCACTTATTAATGAGAGGATGGAAAAGTTTAGAATAACGTGTGTGTTATGGATTGAATTGTGTTCCTCCAAGATTCATATGTTGAAGCCCTAACCCCCAATACCTCAGAATGCGACATTATTTGGAAATAGGGTCATTATAGACGTAATGAGTTAAGATGAGGTCATTAGAGTGGGCCCCAACCCAGCATGACCGTTGTCCTTAGAAAAAGGGGAAATTCGGATGCAGACATGCACATAGGGAGAATGCCATGTGAAGGTGAAGGCAGAGGTCAAGGTGAGGCTTCTACATGCCAGTGAGTGCCAGAGATTGCCAGCAAACCGCCATTATCTGGGAGAGAGGCGTGGAGCAGGTTCCCCTCACAGGCCTCAGAACGGACCCGCCCTGCCGACGCCTTGGTCTCACACTTCCAGCCTCTAGCACCGTGAGACAAGTTTCTGCTCATTAAACCACCTGGTTTATGGTGCCTGTCACAGCAGCCCTAGAAGACTGGTACAACGTGGGATGGGAAATACTGCCACCACTTTAGAAATGCAGTCTGACTCACGGTCGTCAGGGAAATATCTGTGTTTTCTTTGATATGCTCTTGACCCTGCCGCCACGTGGTTTTCATGGTCTTAAAAAATGTAATCACTTTAATAATTATTTTTAGTGCAGGTAAATTCTTGTTTCCATTTTCTTGTATAGAAAGGAGGAGATTTAATTTTGAATTGTATTGTGTTTTCTTATTATGTATTAATATTGTGCAAACAACATTTTCTTAATTTCTTTCTAGTTCTTATCATGAGAAGATCAACGAAAGTGAAAGCAAATGATTTTCATTCACCTCGTCAACATTTTAACTTCACTGTAGCTCCTCTAGTTGACCGCGTGGAGGAATACGACGCTTTCTGTAATCTCGGATCCCACGCTGGAAAGTCAGCAATCGTGGAAGAAGAGCCAACCAAGGAAAAACCTACAAACGATACCTGTAGAATTACGGAATACCGGAATAATTGTATACATGTTTCTTTGCACCTAGAAATGGATGTAAAAAGTAAGTTTTTGGCCAGGCACGGTGGCTCGCGCCTGTAATCCTAGCTCTCTGGGAGGCCGAGGTAGGCAGATTGTTTGAGCTCAGGAGTTCGAGACCAGCCTGAGCAAGAGCTAGACCCCGTCTCTACTAAAAATAGAAAGAAATTAATTGGAAAACTAAAAATATGTAGAAAAAATTAACTGGGCATGGTGGCGCATGCCTGTAGTCCCAGCTACCTGGAGGCTGAGGCAGGAGGATCGCTTAAGCCCAGGAGTTTGAGGTTGCTGTGAGCTAGGCTGATGCCATGGCACTCTAGCCCAGGCAAAAGAGTGAGACTCTGTCTCAAAAGAAAAAAAAAGTAAGTCTTTAAGGAAATTACAGGGAAAGGAATAATCAGATATAGACATAAAATTAAGTCTGCATTTTCTGAAACTCAAATAGCTGAAGAATTTTATTGTCAAAATAATATGAGTTGAAAGAATGTTAGTCTTTTCGTCTGTTTATTTTTCTTTCAAAATGTGACTTTTATGGGGCCCAGCTGTAACCCGAGGCAGAGGAAGGAGGTCGTTATGGGTCAGGATTTGAGGGCACTAGAAAGATGCTCTGCCCAGCATGAACTTCCAGACACGCCCATTAGCCACACTTGAAGTAATAATACCGTCACACGTGGTACTAACGGGTGAGATTTCTTTTGGAATGTAAATATCCATGTACATTGTAATGTACTGTTAAACTTTTGTTCTGGGTTGATTTAACATGTCCTCTATTAGAGCTGAGAGCCAGGTTGAAATGAAATGGGATTTTTGATGTAATGTTGGGAAGACAGGGTGAGGTATGGAGTATGCACCTGGAGTCACCAGATGATTCTGCAGGAAAAGTCAGAGGCCGAAAGAGAAATCTTACATGTGTCTTGATTCTGCTGAAGGCTGACTAACTTCCTAGTTTACCCTATTTTGAATTATTGCAATTTATCCTTTATACTAAGCAGCATAACCCCACTTCACCCATAAAATTCTACTCTTGGAAAGCATCTTATGATATATTCATTTAATGAGTGCCTCCTGTATGCCAGGCAGCATGCCAGTCATTGGAGACACAGAGTTAGAATCTCGAAGAGGGAGACACCTCACATACACAAGGAAGGGCATCCCAGGGCCCAGGTGCTATAGTGGAGAAATGTGCCCTCCTTTCTGGTATTCCAGACGTATGGGAGTCTTTCAGATTGCTTTAGAATGCTTAATCTAAAGCTTTAAGGTAATTCTTTTAAAAATACCACATTCATTTTAGAGGAAACAGAAATATGTAATGTATATGCATTTTTAAAGTAAACTATGACTTCAGAGAAGTTTCTCCTGTGAGATATTTGCCCAAGGCCCTATAGCCTCTGCAATTGAAGGTTACTTCAAGGTGCCTGTCTGGGGGTGGGTGGATGTGGAAGAGGATCTGAGAAGATCTGAACCAAGAGGTCTATTCTCTCTGTTTCAGAAGTGAGGCTGGAAGGTGGATTAGAGAAAGTGACTGTAGTGAAATCTGAAAGATAAAGAGGTTTGGATTATAGACATGAAAAACATTTTTTCAATGCTTTAATGTTTTCAATTAAATGCATCCATTTAATTGCTTTTTATATTTTTCTAAAACATAAAGAGAAAATAAGCACTTCTGTAATTATGATTTTAAGAGATTTTTTTGTGTTAATGACAAAAATTCATAAATTCTAGATTCAGAATGAAATGATAGTTAACAGCTTTTGGACATCCACAACTCAGAAAGATAGCAATGGTACACAAATATGTACTCTTGTGTTCTGGAAAAAATATATCTATTTTGCTATGTGTAGGCTAAAGATTTATTCATAGTTTACTCTGCAGTGTAAAGAGTAATTTGATCTCCTTTAAAAAAGCCCTGTCCATTAGGAGGTGAAATTAAATTTAGTCCAGTCTGGTAAATTCACTCTGAAACAATAATTTAAACTGTCCCTTTAGATTTTTTTCCAGAAGGCTGCAGAAGTGGGTGGGCAGCCTGGGATATTGGGAGATGACTGTTCTGAATTCCTGCTGGTGCTGTGGGGGCCGCACTGGCTGGTTAGTCCTCATGATGCATGTTCTGCCATTGCAATATGAATTTGGTGAATGCAAGGTTCTTTTTTCATAGTTTTATCAGTGTTCAGTGCCACCTTGGTCATTGGGCCCTCTTTGGCTCTTGTTAGCACTACCAATGTTCTCTGCTATTTAATTGCATGGTTTTTTTTTTTTTTTTTCTGAGATAGGGTCTTGCTCGGTTGCCCAGGCTGGAGTGCAGTGGCACAATCATAGCTCACTGTAGCTTTGAACTCTTGTGCTCAAGTGATCCTCCTGCTTCAGCTTCCTGAGCAGTTAGGACTACAGGCATGTACCACCATGCCCAGCTAATTTTTTAATTTTTATTTTTGTAGAGATGGGGTCTTGTTATGCCTTCTAGGCTGGTCTTGAACTCCTGGCCTCAAGAGAGTCTCCTGTCTCGGCCTCCCAAAGTTCTGGGATTATAGGCGTGAGCCTCTGAGCCCAACTAACTGCCTGCTTTTATATTACTGAGGAAAGAATGTAAGCTTGGCAGCAGAATAGCATGGAATGATTTTAAGGAGACTGAGTGCTGCCATCCCAGTCAACCTCTGCCCTCTCTCCATTCAGCCTCTTCTCTAAATAAATGTTGAAGGCCTGTTGAGTGTACATCTGGGTTCCCGTCAAGGAAATACCCAGATGACGGGCGCCACGAAGGCAGTCATCCAAGGGTATAAGCCAGTTACATACTCTGCTAAGTTAAGTAAGTACTAGGTGTGTTTTGTATGGAAGGAAGAGGGTACGTAGGGTGGCTGAGAAAGTAAGTATACAGTTGTGTGTTGGACACGACGAAGTCACCCGTGTTTAAATAACTGCTCCCTGGGTTTGCTGGCCAATGCGTTTTCACGGAACCAAGGGAGACTGTGGGAAGCTACTGAAGGATGGTGACCATCCTTCCCGTGTTGCCTCACTATCATCCGAATGAACAAGTTTATACCAGTACCTTACTAAATGTAGGCCAGGGCAGTTATGTCTAATTAATGCATGCACTGCGTGATCGTTGTCGTGCAAGCCGGCGCACTGCCGAGGACCCTGAGGAAAGGGGTCTGGCGATTCCCCTGCCCTGGTCACTTGCGCGTGTCAGTCCAGTCCTCTGTCTTTGCTGCCTTTCTCTTTCCTCCCCATCCTCTTTGTACTCGCTGCATCCTTTTTGATTGGAGGACATATTTTTGGGCTCTTGGTCTAGGGCCAAATTGTTAGTGACAAATGGCTCTGATTCTGGGACCCTGTTGTGCGCGGTCTTACCCTGGAGACAACAGCGATAGTGAAACTAATATCAGTGCAACCTGTAAGTGGAATTAATCCAATAATTTTGGAACTGGACAGGTGCCTGGAAGCTACCTGGTCAAGTTTCCTCATTTAATACCCTCGTTTAATGCATCGAGAAAGAGTCCGGGAGCGCGAGCGTCTCCCGGCGGGGTGGCACACAGTCAGCCTCCAGCTCAGGGCCGAATGCGGGTGGACTCGGCTACACGGCCGCTTTGCCTCTTACCAGTCACGTAATTTTATTGTATCTTTATGGTATTTTTTTCTTTGCAGATGTCATTTGTTCCATGAAGATCACTTGGTATGTTTTAGTTTTATTAGTTTTTATATTTTTGATCATCCTCGTTTTCCACAAAATACTCGAAGGCCGTAGGAGGGTGCGGAAGCGGCAGAGTGAGTATCGAGAGACAAGTCCGCCGCTCGGGGTACACCGTTCGGGTCTCCTGATCTTCTCTGTGGATTCGACTTAGCACTTATTGCGCGCCTGCTGTGTGTGAGTGGCGATGTGGGTAATTCAGGAGTGGAAGTGCAAGGCGCAGCTCTGGCGTGCAGGGAGCTCCCGCGGCTGTCCCCTGCTCAGAGGGTGCCGAGGAGGGAGGAGGGAGGAGCGGCGGGCGGGCTGCAGGGAGAGCGGGCTGCAGGGAGAGCGGGCTGCAGGGAGAGCGGGCTGCAGGGCGGGCGGGCTGCAGGGAGGGCGGGCTGCAGGGAGAGCGGGCTGCAGGGAGAGCGGGCTGCAGGGCGGGCTGTAGAGCGGGCTGCAGGGCGGGCGGACAGGCCTTAGCGGAAGCGAGGCAGAGAGCGGTGGAAGAACGCGAGGTGGCGAGAAAGAATTCCGGGGCTGGGGTCTCGGACACGCGGCTGTAGGCGAGGGGCGTGAGCCGGAGTCAGCCCTGAGTAGGCGCGAGGCTGTCAGTAGGTGCGCAGCGGGGCGGGACTAAAAGGAATAATTGGAATCGGGACAGCAGGAGCCGCGCTGAAGACATCTAACAGCCAGTGTGACACAGGTGCCCACCTGTCGGGGCGGGCGTCGAGTGTAGACTACAGCACGGCGCTGCAGGTGTGGACCCGGGCAGATAATGGCTCCGCTGGTGCGCCCGTGCACGCACCGGCTGAACGCCAGGCCCGATGGACGATTGTAGTATGAACAGTTGGTTCTTACAGACAGAATAAAATGTACCCTGTGAGAACAGGCTTCAAAGACACGTGCACTTACGTCAGAGTCCTGTCGCTGCCGCTTCCTAGCTACGCGGGAACGAGCCGGTCACCTTGTCTGACCGTCCCTCTCCTCAGACGCTCCTGCGACCGCGCAGGGCCAGGTCAGGGCTGCCATAAGGACGACTCGGGAACGTGGGCGCAGTGCCTGGTGCACACTCGGTTTTCAGCAGGGGGCAGTGGTGTGGCGGTCGTCGTGTTACTTCCCAAGTCTGCTCTGGGCTTTGTCAGGCCGGGCTGGGCGAGGCATGTCAGCAGGCATGACAGGCGGTTGCCTCCAGGTTTGAGTAAAGCTGCCATTAATTCTTTTGACTACGTATTTGTTGCAGATAATTTTGAAGGCAGTTTCATATTGTCTTGTCATTGATACTTTAGTAATAAAGCCCTTAATGCAGTGATTAATAACGTCATCAATACTGTATATTTGTATAACCATTTTCAGTGATTATTAAAGTACGTAAATAGAGTATATGCTATTATTTTCATCTTACAGAGGGAAACCCCCACCCCTGAGACTCAGAGAAGTTAAGTGTTTTATCTAAGGTGATACAACTAGTAAAATGTCAGAACTAAGACCCAGAGTCTTTATAGTTTTGAAAATTAAAGTATTTTAAATAAATGTGTGTTATTTGTAAATAGTGCCTTGTTCTGAGTTTTTTGACCAATTTTCCATGGGAATACATGTTAGGAAAGAGACATGAGCTAGAAAAGATGTCTAGAAAGAGACCAGTAGTGGGGAGTCACATTAAATTCTTGTGAACATTTTCCCAAATGACAGACTGAATGTCTTTCAAAAGCTTGCCTTGCAATCCAAGCATATAAAGTAATGAAAAATTTCACATCACTGAGGACATTATATATTATTGAATATTAAATATACGTTAAATATTCTGTACATCATATCTATGCATACAATAATATAAATAATATACTTCTCTGTAATAGAGGTAATGCTTTCCATTAGAGAAGATGGCATAGTGGCATTTATGGTTGTGGAGAAGCCACTGGTGTTAGAAAGAAGCTGACTTTGTTAATCAAAATAATAAGGAAAAGCTCTTAGTGTCTTGTTACTCCACATCCTGTTGTGAATGGCCCATTCTTCTTGGTAATCCTTTGAACTAATGTGGGGAATATATATTAAAAATGTGCTTGTTTATCATCTAAATGTTTAATTTCTTTTCTGGGAATAGGTCATAAATACAAAACTACGTCTGTTCTCCTAAGAGGAAGTGATTCTGAGAAGCCGAGAGCAGCGACTGCGCGGGTTATTTCAGGTGAGTTCCGTGGCGAGCAAACGGCGCTCAGGAAATGCCAAAGCAGCACTGTTTCATCCCTGAGTAAACTGAAGATCTGAGATCTGAACTCATTTAAATTAGCCTTGCATCTGGAATAAAGGAGCTGTGCGTACATGAAATCCAATTTAATATGTCTTATTGTCAGGGAACGGTCATGATCAACACGACCTCCTCCAATAATGGAAAGTTTGCTTAATTGGCAAGAAGAAATCCATGTGAGTAGGCAGAGGAGAGAAAGCATAAGGAATAAGCCTCAGATTTATTTTTAAATGAGACAAGTTACCATTATTCCTCGGAATTGCAAGAAGTAATTGCAGAGTGGGTATGGCTTTCGCCGAAGCCTTCACTTAGCAGAGGCTGTCATCGTGTAAAGAGAGCTTCTAATACCCCCAATTAAAAAGCCCCCTGTCCTCTCCTGAGAAAGAGAAATGGAATAAGGGAATCCTAATTAGAGCAGCTAAGGGGGCTGTTGGCACAGATGCTGTGGTTCAATCTCTTTCTTCTAATTGTGAAGGCTCCTTTTGAATCCGAGCTGTCAAATCACATTTAAAAAAAAAGAGGGAGAATGTGAAGCGGAAGAAGCCTGTTCTTCATCAAAGAGAAACAATGTCCTTGACTCTGGAAACCACAGAACTGCGAGTGACATCACTAAAGCTCCTTGCACACGGCCAGTGCCAAGGCCCTTTGTCCTTTGTGAGATGTTAGAAAAGAAAGGAAGCTTCAAGTGTGGTGTGTAAACAGTTTTCAAAAATGAAAGCACACAGGACAAACCCCCAGAGTTCCCCCACCCGACAGCCGCGTCAGTGGCCGCACAGGTCTGCACAGTGTTTCTGGGGACCATGCACTCAGGCCCTTGCTAGCTGTTTAAATTGCAGGTAATCACACTCCTTGCTTGAGAAAAACTTAGATTGGGTGTACCTAAAGAGCTCAGTTTTTAAAAATTCAGACTTTCTACTCAGTGTTATCGGTAAAATGATTATGCTCCGGCTGATAAGAAGTGTTAGTTAAATAATCATTTGACGCCAGTTAACTGGGGGGTAAGTGGATGGAAATTTTGTGTGGTCAATGAAAATTTGTTTGATTAATACAATAAAAGCTACGAAGTTGTTTTAAATGGCAAAATCAATTTTTAAAAGGAGAAAATGGGGTTTTCTTCTTATTTAGTACAAATGCCCAAGCTCTAGGAATATTCCAACAGTTCTGCCGGGCTTCATGGCTGCCTCTGGAATCCTGGTCATTTCTGTCTTCAAGTCATAATTTTGAGCACTGCAGTCTTCTTTGAGAGAAAGTCCATAGTTCCCCTCAACCCGTGTAATTGAGCGAATCACAAACTTTAAGTGCTGGCTGACCACAAGACTAACCTCACAGGCTGCTTTCATGAGCCTGTGATTTTCACTCACAGAAGAAACCTGTCTCGGCCCCCTTCCCTTTGACAGCACTAAAATCCTCTGGCTTTGTTACCGGTTATGTAATAGCAATGTTTAGTGCAGGCCAAGGGGTGATGGCCTTTTTTTAAAACCAAGAATCCTTTTGAGGCTTAGCATGGTAAAGGGGGAAAGAGGCAGATTCTTTCTTATTTATTTTCCTTTAACCTAAATGCAATCTTTCCCTCCCTATTATAAGTTGCTCTTTCTCAGAGAGAAATGGAAGGGAAATCATGTCTCCCTTGAGTGCTGTTTTTAAGGCCTCTCTTTGTAGTGATGGATTATAGGCAGCAGTGAGAATGTAAGGACAAAATGTGCCCGCATGCTGCTCTGGAGAGGCAGTAACATGGGGGGAAAAAATATATATAGTTCAAAGCGGTAGGGACTGCGTGTCACATTCAGCAGAGCAGCTTGTTTACTCCAGCCAGACATTCCAGAACGTCTCTCCAGTCGTTCACGTGTTACAAAGTTAAGTGTTGTTACACGCATACACACGGAGATACAGAGAGGCTCACCCTCCCCAAAAGAAGTTTATTCATCCTCCGAGGGAGAAATAAGGAGAGATTACCAGGACGCTGGCGCCGCGCTCTGCCTGGCACATGCTAGGGCACGGTGAACACCGATAGAACAAACGTGTCTCATTGCTGTAGAAAGAGATGTCATACAGAACCACATCCCAGCCTTTTATATGTCTCTAACATTTTCCTTCTTGCTTCGAGAAGCGTGAGAGCTTATGTTGCCTGTCGGGGCATTCATCCACTTTACATCTTATTCATTCAACTGTTATCTTCACACAGGTGCTGACTCTGTCTTATTCATCTTTGTATCCTCGTCCCTAGCATAACATCCGGCACCTAGTTTATGCAAATAAAAGCTTATTAAATATCACAAGTCCTGAAAGGAACAGTATAGAGTAAAAAGAGCAGATGAGCAAGCAACGGATCTGAGGGTTTGGGAAATGAGGAGACAAAGTCACCACAGGGGACGTGATTCCACCCCACTGACGAATGCGTAGCGCACCGTGTGAAATTGCTAAGGGTGTCGAAGAATAATGCCATCTTGAAGAACAGATCTGAGAACAGTGGAGAAGTGCCTTTAAAATGTGCCCCGAGAAAGAGTGCTTAATGGGTCGACCATGTTCGGAAACCAAGGCCGGGGCAGAAGGAGTGGACTAGAACCTCTGAATCATTGGACACAAACGATAGAAACCAACTTGATTGACTACAGAGAGGAAATTTACTGGAAAACCGGTAGGTAGCCCATAAAAGCAATAGGCAGGTTAGGGAATCTGAACTTGGAAAATAAACAGGCATTGAAGGGGGCCAGGAAGCCAAAAATACAGTCCAAGTTGTATAACAGGAATGGCTTGGTGTGGATGGCCCTGCTGGCGCCACCACCATCGGAGGTTCCCTCCGAGCTGCTGGGGCTACGCTTTGACTGCCTTGCAGCTTTGCGTCTCTCCCTGCGATTGCTGGGCCCGAGGAGGAGCGTCTGATTGACTGAGTGTGGGCCCCAGAGTGGTACTCCGGTGCCGGGAAGCAGGGAGAGGGAATATCTGACCCTCTGGCTTTCTGCATGCTTGAGGTCATCCCGACATGTCCTCATCGTGGACAGTCAATAAATAAGTATCTGTAACGGCAGGTTTCTGGGATCAAAGGTCCCACTCACTCCCGCTGCGTGGGTCCATGAAAGCGTCGTTTCTTATCTCTCCTCTATTCTCCATCAGAAAGAGTGAAATCTTTAAAACTTGAAATTCTTCACCTTTCAATATTCAACTATAGTTTATTGAACACCGACTATGGGCCAACCAGTACGCTCAGCACTGGCGCCACAGCGGCACACCAGGCTCGGTCGGGACGCTTCAGGAGATTCGGCCCTGCTCGCCCGAGGAGAGGGAGACCAACGTCTCATTAAGCACCTTCCGTAGGCCATGTCCTTTCACACGCACTTCATTTAGTTTCCTAAGAACTTCACTTTTCTTCCTGGTGAGAAAACCGAAGCTAAGAGAGTTCAAGCAACTGGTTCACAGCTTGGCTCCTACCAGAGTCAGGGTTCAAATTCAGTTTTGTGCAGTGGATGCACTTTCTAGCACACCGCTCGATGGCAACAGTGAACTGCGTTCTGCTGGGTCAGGCCACAGATCAAAACTCCTCTTGCTCTTTCTTACACGTAGCGCTGGAAACCGAGATGAAACACCTCCTCTGTGCAGGCTGTAGGAGCCGTGTGTGACAGTGCGAGTCATCTGCAAGGGATCATTTCAGCATTGGCTGAAGTGTGTTTTGCAGTTAATGTGGGTGGCTTCTCAGGGAACATGAAACAAAAGAATATAGAATTTCATTGTGAAAGAATTGCTACATGTCAGAAAGAAGTGGATGACCCAATAATTTATATTACCCCAAAATAAAACTAATGGCAATGTAAAATTATAATTTGCAACATGTTTATATGGCCAGCATAAGAGAGACTAAGCAGGTTTCAATTTCCCACAGAAGAGGAAATACATTACAGGTGCCAGATGTCCTGCAATGAAGCAAGATAACATGAAAATTTAATTTTTACTTGCTGAACTATCATATTTATGATTCTTAAAATACAGATTTGGGTTCATAAAATAAGAAAGGTTACAGCCATCTGCTTGGTTATAGAATGGCTCAAAATGAAGAGGATGATTCTCTTTGCAGGAAAAAATTCACCAGTGCGAAGACTCTATAGGCAGAATAGGATGATGTATTCTATTTGTTCATTGAATACCTTTACGTGACAGCGTCTATTCCAGGTCTGAGAGAACTGATGGTAAAACGCGTGCACACACGCATCTCCTCTGTCTTTACACAGCGTGTCCCTGCCTGGACCATCCTGCCTCCCCCACAACCCCCTAGAAACCCTCCCTCTCCCACCCTGATTTTGTCTAGTTAACTCCAACCGTTCCCTTCCGATCTTAGCTTAACTGACACTTCCTCAGAGAAGGTCATCTCAGACCTCCTGGACAGGTAAATGCCGCTTTTTATACACCCTCACAACACCGCAAATCTCTTTGTAGCAGTTATCCCTGTCGCTATTTCACATGTTTGTGCTATTCGATTGATGCCTCTCCCACAAGCCAGTTAGCTGCTTGAGGTCAAGGACACTGTCTGATGACACTCATCACTGCGTCCCCAGCTCATAGTGTAGTGCATATATATGGGCACATAGTAGATACCCAGTAAATATTTGCCAGCTGAATACAATTCGACATTGACTATGTTGAAAGAGTAGCTGCTGCTGTCTTACAAAGACCTTTCAAATACTTTCCCTCCCTAAATCATAACTTTCGATAATGCTTATCCAAAATAATAAAAAAGAAAATGGTTAAACACTTGATCAGTTTTATTCCTTGGAGTAGTTTTAAGGATATCTGCAGTACGAATTAACCAGGAACTGAGTCAATGGCTCAGAATATTGGCAGATGCCAGTTCAAGGAGGTTTTTTATTATTTTTTTTCTTTTTCTCTTCAGTTGTTAATTCTAGATAATTTTTCAGTCATTTATTTTCCATCCTCATTTGATTTTCACATTG